AAGGGTTGTATGAGCCCCTAATAAAATGATTAAAAAAAAAAAAGAAAATCCATTTTAACACATTATAGTGTAATTCAATTCACACATGGCTTGACTAATCTGTATTTTAGCTGCCATTTTATTAAAATAATCTTCCTTTGCTAGGACGTAACTAAAAAAAAAAAATAATAAACCTTATGAGGAGCCCTGGTGGCATGGTGGTTACGTGCAGAGCTGCTAACCACAAGGCTAGCAATTCGAAACCCAGGCTTTCTCCTCCCCTAAAGAGTTACATCTCAGAGACCCAAAGGGGCAGCTCTTCTGTCCTTTAGGCCACAGAGGTTCTCAACCTGTGGGTCGCAACCACTTGGGAGGTCCAATGACCCTTTCACAGGGGTCATCTGATTCCTAACAGTAGCAAAATTACAGTGCTGAAGTAGCTATGAAAATCATTTAATGGTTGGGGGGTCACTGCAACGTGGAGAACGGTAATCAAGGGCCGTGGCATGAGGAAGGGTGAGAACCACTGCTCTCGGGTCTCTCTGAGTTGGAATCAACTCGCTGACTGTGAGTTGGGCAGTTTGGGAAGGATTCTGTACTGTCTGGTATGGGAAGAGGTCAACGGGTTGGGGGGGGGGGTGACATCGTGAATGATCCCACAGGGTGTCACCAGCCCTAGTACACTACTAGTATCAATGCTCATCCATCTGTCTTATCAGATTCATTCCTCTGAAAACTGTTCATTTGTCTTCGTTTCTCTTCCAGGAAATCTCACAGCCGAGCTGGGTAAGTTCTGGGTGGTCACACCCACAGGCTGGCTGCTGATAGTGTGATGATGTAAATGGGTACACCTTGGGCTGCTATCCACAAGGTCAGTGGTTTGAATCTACCAGCCTTTCCAAAGGAGAAAGATGAGCATATCTGCTCCCACAAAGATTTACAGCCTCAGAAATCCTATTTAGAGTCACCACGAGTCGGCCATTTGATGGCAGTGGGTTTGATTTGTTGGGTCTGAAATGAGATAGGAGTCCTGGTGGTGTAGTAGTAGATTATGTATTGGGCTGCTAACTGTAAGGTCAACAGTTCAATTCTACTGGGTGACATTGGTTGCCTGTGCCCATAAAGACAGGGAACAGTTCTATTGTCCTGCTCTATAGGACCACTATTAGTCAGAATTGATTCAGTGACTGGGGGACTGGTGGGGAGAGATGTACCCCAGTGAATGAATCCTAAATCCATCCCTTTCTGCCTCTCCACTCCTAACCAGAGATTGGATGGGCTGCCTACTCATGGACAGCTGCCACCCATGTCTAAATGGTTAAGTGCTGCCCGGCTAACAGAAAAGTCAGCGGCTCAAAGGCTCTGGCGATCTGCTCCACATTGCCTTTTCTGACTCATGGCAACAGAGTGGAGCTACCCCGCAGCCCCGGCATCTAAGGCTGTCATTTTTACAGAAGCAGACTGTCACATCTGTCTCTTGCTAAGCAACGTGTGTTCAAACCACCAACCTTTGTTTAGTCGTCTTCTCTGTTACACAGAGTACTTACTCTCAGAGTCTCAACGAGAAGGCTTGACACAGTGGCTGCAACAAGGGGTCAACATAGGAATAACTGTGCAGATGGCGCAGGAAGGGGCAGTGTTCCGTTCTGCTGTGCGCAGGTTCACTGCGGGTCAGAACCGACTCACTGGCAACTAACAACAACTTGAGAGCCCTGTTAGCACCGTGGGTTAGCTGACGTGTTGGGTGGGTTTAACTACACGGTTGGTGGTCACACCCACCCATCATGCCTTTAAGCAATGAGTTTGGTTTGGTTTGGGGGCTTAGGAGGCAAGTTGATAGCACATGTCAGCAGGTGAATCCTTCAAGCCACTCCCATCGAATCAGCTCACTCACTTGAAATTCCACCCTGCACTCCCTCTGGTTCAGCATCCTATGAGATCTTTCTCTGTTTCATCAAAATGCCAGCAGGAAGGGTAGACACCCACTGCGATCCTGTAGATTCCCTCTCATAGCAACCTAATATAGGGTTACCAAGGCTGTGAATCTTTATGGGGGCAAACAGATTCATCTTTCTCCCAAGAAGTGGTTGGTGGGTTTGAACTACCAACCTTGCAGTGGGTTTGAGCTACTACCAACACTTACTGGACAGCACCACTGGAAACGGTGACCCATTTAATTTTCACTTAAGTCGGGCTAATTTATCCGTTCACTTTATGCCTCAGAAGAACTCAGCAACTGGCTACAATGGGTATGGGAGTTTGTACGTAGGAAGCGGGAGAAAGAAAGGCTAGGGGAAAAAGGGAAAGACCCCCAGGAGACTTACCTGACCTGCCCCAGCAATGCTCCCGCTGGAACTATGATTTTGGGGAAGCGAGTCCAGCCAGCAGACTTGGGTAGGGAACAGCTGTAATATGTTGCTGGACTCCCTGGGTGGTGCAAATGATTAAGTCCTGAACTACTAAACTTCCAATGTTGCCTTGGAAGTAAGGCTGTCGAATGAAATGCCATGCTACTCTGCATACGTGGGTTCACAATGAATCACAACTGACTAGATGGCAAGAAGTCAGTCACACCATAGTCTGACTGAATCTGTAGTATTGCCTTTCCCAGGGAGCTCTGGTGGCACTGTCGGGTAAGCATTGGATTGCTAACTGCAAGTTCAGTGATATGAACCCACCAGCCACTCGTCCTCAGGCAAAAGATGAGGCTGGCTACTCCTGTAAAGACTAATGGTCTCAGAAATCACAGGGACAATTCTATTCTGTCTTATAGGGTTGCTTTGAGTTGGAATTGACTCAACGCAGTGCATTTGGTTTGGGAGAGTTATTGCTTTTCCCTAAAGCATTTACTTTTTAAAAGAGGACATAGGATGGAGGTATCAGTGGATTGCATTACTAGGAGTTAGTCCTTGGCCTCTGGGTGAGACAATAACTGAGTGTGATTTTCTTCCTTTACTTTAAAGACAGTGCCCTTTCAGTGGTCCTGAAGCTCAGGCAGGCTTTGTGCAGGACCTCTGGATTTATTTAGGACTCTTCCCCAGAAAAAATTTTGTGATTCCAGGGCTAATGAGTGTAGTCTCTTCAAACCAAGCCTGAGTAGTGGAAAGAGGCCCCTCCGTCCCAAGACTCTGGGCCCCTGTGCAAATTTCTGCCTTTGAGTAAACAACAGGCCAAAGGAGCAGCATCCTGGATGACCTCCTTTCCTCGGGTGGTGCAGGTGCCAGCATGGGCCTGGGCTAGCAGTGGGTAAGGCTCGACTGCCGTGGGCGGTGGTTCCAACTTGTTTGAAGGTTGATGTTTTCTTCTTGCATTCTGCTTACAGGGAAGCTTCAGACAGAGCTTGGTAAGTGATCCCTCTTAGAACTATTTTTCTTGTCCACTTTTTGCATCTTGCTATCCAAATAGGATGCTCACCTTGGCACCCTGCTGGCTGTGTGGATGACAGGGAGAGGGGAGGGCTACAAAAGATGTGTGAGCAGGGAAACCGAGGGTGCCTGATGTTCTAACCTACGTTTTTCCTTGGTTGCTGCAGACTGGCGAAGGACCGAAGGCCAGGCTGGTGAGTGAAGTGCTCTTTCCTTCCTACGGTTGCACATAAAGCTCAGTCAGTCTTCCATACGGCATGTGTTAATCCGTTACTGGGTAAAAGTTAGACTCGAATCTTATTTTTACATTGTTTTGAGGCCTAAGCAAACTGGTTCAAATCCTGAATGTTCAGGAGAATCATTTCGACTCTTGGTGTCTACCTGGGTCAAGAGAGGCATGTTCCTATATATGCAAATATTTCTTCTCCAAACCTCCATCTGCCCCATAAAGCAAACAGTCCAATTGTGATCCTTATTTTATACATATTTTTCAAATGTGACTTTGTTTTGTGCACGTGCATTTTATTTTCTGCATTTGCAATATATATGCCATTTCTGTATTTACAGGGCAGTTTATTGTTTATAATCACATGCTCTTTCTTCCCTTTTTTCATTCATCACTCTGCCCATGTGTACATGGGTCTGTCTCTCTTTCTTGCTGTGGACCTCTCCATTTCAGCCAGCTACCCTCCTAGGGCAGCCATTCAGACCGTCTTTGACATCAGAGCACCACAAACTCTGACTAGCTTTCCACATGTTGCCTTCGGGCCTGGTGTGAACAATCTCTTAACGTTTTATTTGGCCCATGGGTGATACATTCACCAGGTGGAAGAGACAGGAACCCAAAAGGCAGTGCCTCACCATCCTTCCACGAGGACTATGTGGAGGCCCATAGGCTCACATCCTGTAGGAGTAGCTTCTATGTCTTCCAGTTCAACGATGATAAGCAATTGGCCATTATTGCTAGAGTAGCTTACTCTCTTCTGAGCACTAAGAAGTTTGAGCATCTCTTTATATGCTCATTGGCTTCAGGTGTGTCCTCTTCTGAAAACGGTCAGTTAACATTCTGTGCCCATTTTTCAAGTGAGGTGGCTGAGAGTTTATTGTGGTTGCTAATGCTGATTCACAGGAATTCTTTATATATATTGTAAGTACTAGTTCCTTGTTGGCACGAAACGTCACATGCTCCTTCTGTTCTGGCATCTGCTTGTTAGTTTTGTCCATGGGGCTCTGTGTCGAAATGACTGATTTGGGTCAAGTAAAATGCATCGTTTCTTTTGATGTTTACTGGGGTTTGGGTGGAAGTTCACAAAACAAATACTTTTCATTGAGCAGTTTATATAGCTTTTGTCTTGTGATGTTGGTTGTAATCCTCACAATGTCAGAGCACACTATTTCGACTCCCTCTCATTCTCATTCCTCCTTCTTCTTGCCCTCTCCTGCCCCGAGCTTTGTTGCTGGGCAAATGCTACCCTGATGGTCTCCCCTGGAGATGCTTCTGAGGAGTGTGCTTTTCCCAGGTGGGACGGTTTACGTTACAGGTGTGTCTAATGTCGGCCTGAAAGCCGATCCCTGTGGGTGAGTTCAGTTTGGAAATATGCTTACGGGCCACAGTCTCAGGAGTTCTACCAGTCTCTAATCAGACCAATAGGTCTAGCCATTTTTATGATTTTGAAATTTTATTAGATTTTTACCTTATGATTTGTGTTCTTGAAGTTTTATGTAAGATCTTCCACATACTTTGGTCACAAAGATCCCCTCCTACACTTTCTCCTATTAACTTTAGATGAATGGTGTGTAGGCCTTTCATCCCCGTAGAAGTCTGTTTTATGTGTTGCTGGGTGGGAATCCAGTTATTTTTCTCCATAGACTGAGTTGTTTTTCCTAATGCCATCCATTATTTCCCCACTAATGTCTGCCCATTGGTGCACTTCTTACCTCGCTGTTTCACTGCTATGGCTTTTATAATATCTAGAAGAATACTTTTTCTGTCCCCATTTCTTCTTCCCTTTTGATGTTAATAGATATTTATTAAATAAAAATTTATGGATTCCTTTAAAAACACCCCAAAAGAGTTGGAATTGCTTTGAATGGACATATACATTTGGATAGAATCAACATCTTATAGAATTGAGTTATTCTATGCAGCACTATCATTTTTGTTTAAGTTCCCCTGGTACTTCTGATGCAAAACCAGGCCTACAAATGTATGAGGCTCTGAAAGTGTCTTTGATTGCTTTTGCTATTTTGTGCCTTGGTAATTTTTCAGCTGCAAAGCAAAATAAGACAACACAGAGATTCACTCAGAATGACTGATCACAAGGAGGCCCGTTGAGAGATGACCTGGTCTGTAGAGGACATCTTGGCATGGGAGCCATGCTTAGCTGGTCAGGCGCGTCAGAGGTTGAGACATTCTTTCTATCCCTCAGGACACCTGGGTTAGTTAGACTGGTTCTCTCAGACTATAACCTCCATTTGCTTTTCATGGCACAACTTCAGCCTGCACACACGCAGCCTTGGTATAGTCCCATGCTGAGCCCAGCTGCCCTTACTGAATCTCAAATACCCAGGAAAATGGTATGACGGATCCAGAACCGTCTGGATTCAAACCAGAAGCCATGATGGAAAAAGGTCATTTAGTTGGTGGGTGCCCTCATGCATCTTGAATCTCCCTTCCTTCTGGCTCCAAAATGATTAACTCGGATCTCTGTTTGGTTTCAGAATGGAGAGCTGCCCAAACATATGCAGGTAACTGAGTGAGAAGCTATGACTCAACAGTGCTTTGTCCAGGAGCCAATAGCCTGGGCCTGCCCTCTCAGACACATAGGCACCTTTGCAGCCTTGTGCACCCACGTAACATGACACGCACCGCTGCATGTGTACATGAGCACACCTACACAGGTGCACATATGCTTCACAGCCGTGTTCCCACACAAAGAGCCCTCTTGGGTTTATGCCGCTGGTTTCTATCTGGCAGGAAGAGAGCATCTTGGGCTTGCTTGCAGGAGAGAATTCACCATCTCTAACCTGGTGCCCTCTTTATCGGGCAGCAGGGACGACTGGTTTCATTAAACAGGGGCGTGCTGGGGCACAGGTGTTGCAGGGCAGGATACTGAAAGAAACTATTTCGGAGGTCTCCTTCGGTTTGATAAAAAAAACCCAAAACACTGAGCCCCAGAGCCCATTGAGGATCTCAAGGCCACACAGGCAGGTGGGAGGACCACATCCGGGACTAGCATCAGCCTCGAAATCTTTCCACTTGGCCCTGCCTGCCTCCATCCTCACAAACCGACCTCATTGATCTCTACCTTCCCAGCAACCGTCCCCCCAACCCCCGCCGCCCAAGGTGGAAACCATCCTGTTTCAGGGATACACAGGATTCCTCTTAGCACACTGAAAGGCTGAGCAGGGGCTCCCACACCACTTCAGGGAGGGCGACCCCACGGATGGCTCCCAGGGGACCGAGGTTTGACCCAGCTGGGGAAGGGGGCCGCTCGGGGGCTGGGCGGCCTCC